CGAGAAACATAATGATAATAATAATGATATTAATAATGGTAATAACTATAGGGATTCCGGGAAATACCAAGGGGAAGGGGGGGGGGGATAAAAGATATTTCTTTCTCCCACTCACTCTCCTACCTTTTGGTCTTCTCTCCCTTTTCTTTTCCCTCTCTATCTCCCTCAACTTTCCCTTTCCCGCTGTGTCACCCCATTCCACTCTGTAATCTTTCTTTTATTTACTCCCCTCTCACTTTCCTCCCTAAACTTCCCCGCTTTCTCTACTCTTGTCTTCTTCCCTCACTCTCCCATCCCCCTTTTTTCTCTAAGCCTTTTCTCTTTCACCATCCCTTTCCCCTTACTCATATCCTTTTCCTCTTCAATTCTCCTTTTCCTCTCTCTTTCCTCTTCTCTATCTCCATTTCTCCTCTCTTTCCTCGTCTCTGTCTCAATCTCCCCTCTCTTTCCTCGTCTCTGTGTCCATTTTCCCTCTCTTTTCTCTTCTGTTTCCATTTCCTTTTTAAACCCCTTCCCTTCTCCCTTTCCCCCTTCTTTCTTAACCTCCTTCCCCTCTGGATAGTCGTGTATATATGTGCATAAACTGATGCTCTAACTACTTCCGTGCAATGTACTTGCCTCGAAGAAGAATGGTAATAATAATAATAATAGGAAAAATAGCAATGATAATGACATGATGATAACTGTAATAAAACTATTTAATATTTACTAGTAGCAAAAATCAATAATCATGATTGATATCATGGTTATTATAACCATGATATTGATGTTAATGGTAATTTTAGTAATAAAAATGATAATTACACGATGGTCATTACAATAATTGTATTAGTAGTAATAATTAACATAATGATATTGATGATAGTTCTAACAGCAGTGATGATAATAACATTACTACTACTACTACTAATAATAACTATAAGTATTACAACGATCATAGTGATAATCACTAAACATGACCACATTTATGGGATGAAGCCCTCTATATACTGCGTTTGTGCATTCCATAGCAGAGTTACTGACTTTACTCGATCCTTCGCTTTTGTCCGGCAATTCCCAGGTTTTCTTTCATATTCTCCCTAACTAATGGGGCCGAAATCATAGCTGAGCTATGTGTCCGACGGGAATGAGAGCTACATTCGTTCGAAACACGACGGAAATTGCTGTTAGGAGCCATTTCTATACATATCATATATACATATAAATATATGTGTGTGCCCCCGCCTTGTCACCTCCCTTACTGCGACATCTACGGGTGACGCCTAGAAACCTATGACAGGCTGCCGGACTTCTGTTCCTGATAGTACACTGCTGATCACTCAAAACCGATATCGAACAATAAACCTGGATAACATTAATGATGTGTAAGGTAGAGGAAGCGAAGTGGCACAAATATTTGATACATTATGAGATTGAACTACACACCCTCTCCATCTCGCTAATTTGTTTATCTTTTTTATCTTTCAGGGTCTACTCCGTTACACTTGGCGGCTCAGGAGGGGCACGAGGCGACGGCAGAGAAGCTCATCGACAAAGGCGCTGATGTGAACGCGAAGAACACAGAAGGTAAGGATCGTTTACATATGCCCGAGGTGGGCCCTTCTTGAAGACGTCAGGAATTCGCCGTCACTGAACCACATATCGTGGCGTTTTATACATAGTCATAACTCTCTATATATTTTTGTCTTATTAATATAGTTCACACTGAAAAACAACCGTGGCCCTTCTCAGGCATTCATTGTGAACACGAAGGAAAACGACCGTGAATTTCTTCCAGATATGCCTCAGGTGGTTTCTTCTGAAACTATTAAACTAAATAGATTGGTGCTTTAAATATAAGCATAAATTATACTATTCATACTATTATCTTTATTGTAATAATTATTGTTATTGATTTTTTCCAATCTATGTATTGCATAATGATAATAATTGAAATAATAATAGGGAAAAGGAAAAGAAAAATTATAATAACAAAAATCCGTATAATTTTTATAACGATGAATGTAACCATAATAGAAATAACAGTGATAACATAAAAACTACTGCTACTAATTGTTATTTATTTTTTCTTTTTACTGTTATAGGAATAGTGATAGCAAAGATAATGTTACTAACGAGAAAGGTGATAATAATAGTAATATTAATAATGGTAATAACTATAGGGATCCCTGGAAATTCCATGGGGGGGAGGGGGAGAATAAGTGATACTTTCTCCCTCTCACTCTCCTACCTTTTGCTCTTCTCTGCTTTTTCTTTTCCCTCTCCATCTCCCTCAACTTTCCCTTTCCCGCTGTCACTCCATTTCTTTCTCCTTACCCATCTCCTTTTCCTCTTCAATTCTCCTCCTTTTCCTCTCTCCTTCCTCTTCTCTATCTCCATTTCTCCTCGCTTTCCTCGTCTCTGTCTCCATTTCCCCTCTCTTTTCTCTTCTCTATTTCCATTTCCTTTTTAAACCCCTTCCCCTTCCCTTTCCCCCTTCTTTCTTAACCTCCTTCCCCTCTGGATAGTCGTGTATATATGTGCATAAACTGATGCTCTAACTACTTCCGTGCAATGTACTTGCCTCGAAGAAGAATGATAATAATAATAATAGGAAAAATAGCAATGATAATGACATGATGATAACAGTAATAAAACTATTTAATATTTACTAGTAGCAAACATCAATGATCATGATTGATATCATGGTTATTATAACCATGATATTGATGTTAATGGTAATATATATTTATATATATAAGTATGAATATATATATATATATATATATATATTCATATATTCATTCTTTTGTCCGGCAATTCTCAGGTTTTCTTTCATATTCTCCCTAACTAGCGGGGCCGAAATCATAGCTGAGATATGTGTGCGACGGGAGGGGGGGGGGGCTACATCCGTTCGAAACACGACGGAAATTGCTGTTAGGAGCCATTTCTATACATACCATATATACATATGTATGTGTGTGTGCCTTTGCCCCCCGCCTTGTTACCTCCCTGACTGCGACATCTACGGGTGACGCCTAGAAACCTTTGCCAGGCTGTCGGACTTCTGCTCCTGATAGTACACTGTGACCATTCTAAATCGAACGATAATCCTGGATAGTATTAATGATGTTTAAGGCAGAGGGAGCGAGGTGGCACAAATATTTGATACGTTATAAGATGGAACTACGCACCCTCTGCATCTTGCTAATTTGTTGATCTTCCCGTTTCAGAGTATACTCCGTTACACTTGGCGGCTCTAGGAGGGCACGAGGCGACGGCAGAGAAGCTCATCGACAAAGGCGCTGATGTGAACGCGAAGAACACAGAAGGTAAGGATCGTTTACATATGCCCGAGGTGGGCCCTTCTTGAAGACGTCAGGAATTCGCCGTCACTGAACCACATATTGTGGCGTTTTATACATAGTCATAACTCTATATATATATATATTTTTTGTCTTATTAATATAGTTCATACTGAAAAACAACCGTGGCCCTTCTCAGGCATTCATTGTGAACACGAAGGAAAACGACTGTGAATTTCTTCCAGATATGCCTCAGGTGGTTTCTTCTGAAACTATTAAACTAAATAGATTGGTGCTTTAAATATAAGCATAAATTACACTATTCATACTACTTTTATTTTCATTGTAATAGTTATTGTTATTGATTTTTCCCTATCTATGTATTGCATAATGATAATAATCAAAATAATAGGAAAAAAGGAAAAGAACAATTATAATAACAAAAATCCGTATAATATTCATAATGATGAATGTAACCATAACAAAAATAACAGCGATAGCATAAAGAGTACTACTACTATTTTTTTTTTTTTTTTTTTTTTTTTTTTACTATTGTAGGGAGAATGATAGCAAAGATAATGATACTAACGAGAAACATAATGATAATAATAATAATGATATTAATAATGGTAATAACTATAGGGATTCCGGGAAATACCAAGGGGAAGGGGGGGGGGGGGGATAAATGATATTTCTTTCTCCCACTCACTCTCCTACCTTTTGGTCTTCTCTCCCTTTTCTTTTCCCTCTCTATCTCCCTCAACTTTCCCTTTCCCGGTGTGTCACCCCATTCCACTCTGTAATCTTTCTTTTATTTACTCCTCCCCTCTCACTTTCCTCCCTAAACTCCCCCGCTTTCTCTACTCTTGTCTTCTTCCCTCACTCTCCCATCCCCCCTTTTTCTCTAAGCCTTTTCTCTTTCACCATCCCTTTCCCCTTACTCATATCCTTTTCCTCTTCAATTCTCCTTTTCCTCTTCTCTATCTCCATTTCTCCTCTCTTTCCTCGTCTCTGTCTCAATCTCCCCTCTCTTTCCTCGTCTCTGTGTCCATTTTCCCTCTCTTTTCTCTTCTCTGTTTCCATTTCCTTTTTAATCCCCTTCCCTTCTCCCTTTCCCCCTTCTTTCTTAACCTCCTTCCCCTCTGGATAGTCGTGTATATATGTACATAAACTGATGCTCTAACTACTTCCATGCAATGTACTTGCCTCGAAGAAGAATGATAATAATAATAATAGGAAAAATAGCAATGATAATGACATGATGATAAGAGTAATAAAACTATTTAATATTTACTAGTAGCAAACATCAATAATCATGATTGATATCATGGTTATTATAACCATGATATTGATGTTAATGGTAATTTTAGTAATAAAAATGATAATTACACGATGGTCATTACAATAATTGTATTAGTAGTAATAATTAATATAATGATATTGATGATAGTTCTAGCAGCAGTGAAGATAATAACATTACTACTACTACTACTAATAACTATAAGTATTACAACGATCATAGTGATAATCACTAAACATGGCCACATTTATACATACATATGTGTTTCTGCCTTTGTGTATTTCTTATGTATATATTTATATACACTGTTGAAGGTCAGTAATCACAACTATTAGACACATGCTATAAAGATAAAAGCCAAAAAGAGGTACAAGTATTTCCGGAACTGCACACTACATTTCGTTTATTCGTTCCAGGGAACACCCCGTTATACCTGGCAATTCACAACGGGCACACAGCGATGGTAGAGGCGCTCGTTGCTAAAGGCGCTGACTTGAACGCTAAGAACAACGCTGGTAAGGCAATTTGAGATAAAATTGAGGGGGTTTTACAGTAGAGATAACAGGAATTTGGCACCGATATTAGACTAAATATATTAGTGCTTTAGATATGAATATATGAATATGTTTTTTTCTGTTGGTATTATCGTTATCAGTTCATCATCTGTTATGTTCTGTATTTCATTATTAAAACGTTTATCATTATGATTGAAGTATTTCTGCTAACTTTATTATCGATGTTATATTCATTATAAGTTTACCTGATTTTTTATTTAATAATAAGTATCACCATTGTTGTTATAAGGATTTTTTTTGTAATTTGTGAGAATCGTTCATCTTGTAGTTATTGTTAGTTACCATTCCTGCATTTATTACAGTATAACTTTTCCTATTATCATAATGGTTACTGTTATGATTATGATTATCATCAGTGATGTTATTATTATCACTATTATTGTTGTTAGCATCATTATTTTGTTTTTTCTAATACTATTACTACTATTATGTCATAGAATGTAATTAAAATCACATACTCGTATATTTTATTCTGCAAAAACAACACAGAACAAACAAACAACAATATATGGATACCACATGTATGCATGCACGAAGCAGAGCGTACCACTAGATATAAACCAACAAAATTGATTATTCTACAGAGGGGACATGCCACCATAATTAATCTCTTAATACTGCTATTCATCAAAACAAAAACAAATCTAAAACTATTATTTTCCCCCAAAATTTCTTCGGTGATAAGACTCAACATCTCTTCCCAGCAGCGTCGACTCTTACGAGGTACTTACATATTTAAAAAGACCTTCCTGCGATTCCTTTTCCTATACCTGCCACGGTAGAAAACCTGCCGCTCGACCTAAGGCAAAGGGAAGGGGGAGGGGGTGCTAGAATTTGATACATTTAACCCATTGGTGCCGGGTATGACGTGTACGTACGAGCTATGCCCACCGTGAGTACTTGTTTGATTGTTTTACGCATAGATGGCAACACTTGTACCAACTACGAGCACCGCCCGTCTCGCCCGTTTACCCGATTCATTGATTTACGAAATATTTAACGTTATCTTATTTTGCTGTTACTAATGATAAAAAAACATTATAAAAATTATAATGTTTATGATAAAAATAACACCATCGATTTTCATAGCACTAGTGAAAAATACGTTTTACCCGCCATTTCAAATCAGGCGCTAGCAGAGCCATCTATCGGCAGACATTTCACGAAAAACATAGAAAGTGGGCACAGCATTTTCCCCATTTTTTGTTCATTTTTCCCCGGCGGCATTGGGTTAAGAAGTGGAATTAGTCTGCATCTTGTTTAATCTATTCAGGGCATACTCCACTACACTTAGCTGCTGAAGAAGGCCATGAAGTGGTGGTAGAGGCACTCATTGCCAAAGGAGCTAATGCCAACACGAAAGACGACATGAGTAAGGTTATCTCAGATGTGGCTCAGGTGGTTCTCTGGTAATGTAATATATATATATATATTTGTGACCGCCGCGATAGCTCAGTCGTTAGAGCACTGGACTCCGACCCTCGTGGACCCGGGTTCAATTCCCCGTCGCGGCAGTCGTAAAAATGCCTGCGCTCTGACTCCAGCCCGAGAAAACGACATATCGCCTTGAGAAGTCAAACGCAGGTGCCGTAGGGAAAGTCACCGCCGTGGCACAAGTGTTAGCGCGCCGAATCGCGGTTGATTAGGAAGGGCATCCAATCAGGCCATGGTGACACCGCCATATAACCTCTCAATACTGAATTGAGAGAGGCCTATGTCCTGCAGTGGAATGAATGGCTGTTGAAAAAAAAAAAAAAACATATATATATATGTATATATATATATTTGTATGTATACATATGTTTATATACATCTATAAATATATATATATATATATTTATATATATATAAGTATGAATATATGTGTGTGTGTGTGTGTGTATGTGTGTATGTGTGTATGTATCCACATTAGCATCCTTTCTCTCGGAATAGAGACAGAAACGGAAGACCAAGCATTTTCCTTCGTTAGGGTGGACGCCGCTGCACTGGTCTGCCCAGAACGGTCGGAGCGCGGCGGCCGAGGCCCTCCTAGGGAAAGGAGCCGAGAGGAACGCCGCAACGCTTGGCGGTAAGACGGTTCCTGATACAATGAAGGCTGTCTTATCGTTAAGGCGTTTGTTACCGTATTGTCCGTTTGTTCTTAATTTATCCTGTCCCCCCCCCCCCCACCTTTCACCCTTCCCTGTTTACTTGAACTGTGAGTTACCGATATCGAACGAGGGGAAAGAGAAGGAAGGATAAACAAAGAGGTGTGTGTGTGCGTGTGTGCGTGCGTGCGTGCGTGCGTGTGTGCGTGCGTGCGTGCGTGTGTGTGTGTGTGTGTACACACACACACATATATATATGCATATATATATATAGATAGATACATGTGTGTGTGTATATATACCCTCTGGATAGTCGTGTATATATGTGCATAAACTGATGCTCTAACTACTTCCGTGCAATGTACTTGCATCGAAGAAGAATGATAATAATAATAATAGGAAAAATAGCAATGATAATGACATGATGATAACAGTAATAAAACTATTTAATATGTACTAGTAGCAAACATCAATGATCATGATTGATATCATGGTTATTATAACCATGATATTGATGTTAATGGTAATTTTAGTAATAAAAATGATAATTACACGATGGTCATTACAATAATTGTATTAGTAGTAATAATCAATATAATGATATTGATGATAGTTCTAACAGCAGTGATGATAATAACATTACTACTAATAATAATAACTATAAGTATTACAACGATCATAGTGATAATCACTAAACATGACCACATTTATACATACATATGTGTTTATGGGTCGGTAAGCCCTCTGGAAAGGGAATTGATGGGACGAAGCCCTCTATATACTGCGTTTGTGCATTCCATAGCAGAGTTACTGACTTAACTCGATCTTTCGCTTTTGTCCGGCAATTCCCAGGTTTTCTTTCATATTCTCCCTAACTAATGGGGCCGAAATCATAGCTGAGCTATGTGTCCGACGGGAATGAGTGCTACATTCGTTCGAAACACGACGGAAATTGCTGTTAGGAGCCATTTCTATACATACCATATATACATATATATATATATGTGTGTGTGTGTGTGCCATTGCCCCCGCCTTGTTACCTCCCTTACTGCGACATCTACGGGTGACGCCTAGATACCTTTGCCAGGCTATCGGACTTCTGTTCCTGATAGTACACTGCTGATCACTCAAAACCGATATCGAACAATAAACCTGGATAATATTAATGATGTGTAAGGTAGAGGAAGCGAAGTGGCACAAATATTTGATACATTATGAGATGGAACTACGCACCCTCTGCATCTTGCTAATTTGTCTATCTTCCCGTTTCAGGGTTTACTCCGTTACACTTGGCGGCTCAGGAAGGGCATGAGGCGACGGCAGAGAAGCTCATCGACAGAAGCGCTGATGTGAACGCGAAGACCACAAAAGGTAAAGATCGTTTACATATGCCCGAGGTGGGCCCTTCTTGAAGACGTCAGGAATTCGCCGTCACTGAACCACATATCGTGGCGTTTTATACATAGTCATAACTCTATATATTTTTGTCTTATTAATATAGTTCACACTGAAAAACAACCGTGGCCATTCTCAGGCATTCATTGTGAACACGAAGGAAAACGACTGTGAATTTCTTCCAGATATGCCTCAGGTGGTTTCTTCTGAAACTATTAAACTAAATAGATTGGTGCTTTAAATATAAGCATAAATTACACTATTCATACTACTTTTATTTTCATTGTAATAGTTATTGTTATTGATTTTTCCCTATCTATGTATTGCATAATGATAATAATCAAAATAATAGGAAAAAAGGAAAAGAACAATTATAATAACAAAAATCCGTATAATATTCATAATGATGAATGTAACCATAACAAAAATAACAGCGATAGCATAAAGAGTACTACTACTATTTTTTTTTTTTTTTTTTTTTTTTTTACTATTGTAGGGAGAATGATAGCAAAGATAATGATACTAACGAGAAACATAATGATAATAATAATAATGATATTAATAATGGTAATAACTATAGGGATTCCGGGAAATACCAAGGGGAAGGGGGGGGGGGATAAATGATATTTCTTTCTCCCACTCACTCTCCTACCTTTTGGTCTTCTCTCCCTTTTCTTTTCCCTCTCTATCTCCCTCAACTTTCCCTTTCCCGCTGTGTCACCCCATTCCACTCTGTAATCTTTCTTTTATTTACTCCTCCCCTCTCACTTTCCTCCCTAAACTTCCCCGCTTTCTCTACTCTTGTCCTCTTCCCTCACTCTCCCATCCCCCCTTTTTCTCTAAGCCTTTTCTCTTTCACCATCCCTTTCCCCTTACTCATCCTTTTCCTCTTCAATTCTCCTTTTCCTCTCTCTTTCCTCTTCTCTATCTCCATTTCTCCTCTCTTTCCTCGTCTCTGTCTCAATCTCCCCTCTCTTTCCTCGTCTCTGTGTCCATTTTCCCTCTCTTTTCTCTTCTCTGTTTCCATTTCCTTTTTAAACCCCTTCCCTTCTCCCTTTCCCCCTTCTTTCTTAACCTCCTTCCCCTCTGGATAGTCGTGTATATATGTACATAAACTGATGCTCTAACTACTTCCATGTAATGTACTTGCCTCGAAGAAGAATGATAATAATAATAATAGGAAAAATAGCAATGATAATGACATGATGATAAGAGCAATAAAACTATTTAATATTTACTAGTAGCAAACATCAATAATCATGATTGATATCATGGTTATTATAACCATGATATTGATGTTAATGGTAATTTTAGTAATAAAAATGATAATTACACGATGGTCATTACAATAATTGTATTAGTAGTAATAATTAATATAATATTGATGATAGTTCTAGCAGCAGTGAAGATAATAACATTACTACAACTACTACTAATAACTATAAGTATTACAACGATCATAGTGATAATCACTAAACATGGCCACATTTATACATACATATGTGTTTCTGCCTTTGTGTATTTCTTATGTATATATTTATAAACACTTTTGAAGGTCAGTAATCACAACTATTAGACACATGCTATAAAGATAAAAGGCAAAAAGAGGTACAAGTATTTCCGGAACTGCACACTACATTTCGTTTATTCGTTCCAGGGAACACCCCGTTATACCTGGCAATTCACAACGGGCACACAGCGATGGTAGAGGCGCTCGTTGCTAAAGGCGCTGACTTGAACGCTAAGAACAACGCTGGTAAGGCAATTTGAGATAAAATTGAGGGGGTTTTACAGTAGAGATAACAGGAATTTGGCACCGATATTAGACAATATATTAGTGCTTTAGATATGAATATATGAATATGTTTTTTTCTGTTGGTATTATCGTTATCAGTTCATCATCTGTTATGTTCTGTATTTCATTATTAAAACGTTTATCATTATGATTGAAGTATTTCTGCTAACTTTATTATCGATGTTATATTCATTATAAGTTTACCTGATTTTGTATTTAATAATAAGTATCACCATTGTTGTTATAAGGATTTTTTTTGTAATTTGTGAGAATCGTTCATCTTGTAGTTATTGTTAGTTACCATTCCTGCATTTATTACAGTATAACTTTTACTATTATCATAATGGTTACTGTTATGATTATCATTATCATCAGTGATGTTATTATTATCACTATTATTGTTGTTAGCATCATTATTTTGTTTTTTCTAATACTATTACTACTATTATGTCATAGAATGTAATTAAAATCACATACTCGTATATTTTATTCTGCAAAAACAACACAGAACAAACAAACAACAATATATGGATACCACATGTATGCATGCACGAAGCAGAGCGTACCACTAGATATAAACCAACAAAATTGATTATTCTACAGAGGGGACATGCCACCATAATTAATCTCTTAATACTGCTATTCATCAAAACAAAAACAAATCTAAAACTATTATTTTCCCCCAAAATTTCTTCGGTGATAAGACTCAACATCTCTTCCCAGCAGCGTCGACTCTTACGAGGTACTTACATATTTAAAAAGACCTTCCTGCGATTCCTCTTCCTATACCTTCCACGGTAGAAAATCTGCCGCTCGACCTAAGGCAAAGGGAAGGGGGAGGGGGTGCTAGAATTTGATACATTTAACCCATTGGTGCCGGGTATGACGTGTACGTACGTGCTATGCCCACCGTGAGTACTTGTTTGATTGTTTTTACGCATAGATGGCAACACTTGTACCAACTACGAGCACCGCCCGTCTCGCCCGTTTACCCGATTCTTTGATTTACGAAATATTTAACGTTATCTTATTTTGCTGTTACTAATGATAAAAAACATTATAAAAATTATAATGTTTATGATAAAAATAACACCATCGATTTTCATAGCACTAGTGAAAAATACGTTTTACCCGCCATTTCAAATCAGGCGCTAGCAGAGCCATCTATCGGCAGACATTTCACAAAAAACATAGAAAGTGGGCACAGCATTTTCCCCATTTTTTGTTCATTTTTCCCCGGCGGCATTGGGTTAAGAAGTGGAATTAGTCTGCATCTTGTTTAATCTATTCAGGGCTTACTCCACTACACTTAGCTGCTGAAGAAGGCCATGAAGTGGTGGTAGAGGCGCTCATTGCCAAAGGAGCTAATGCCAACACGAAAGACGACATGAGTAAGGTTATCTCAGATGTGGCTCAGGTGGTTCTCTGGTAATGTAATATATATATATATATATATATTTGTGACTGCCGCGATAGCTCAGTCGTTAGAGCACTGGACTCCGACCCTCGTGGTCCCGGGTTCAATTCCCCGTCGCGGCAGTCGTAAAAATGCCTGCGCTCTGACTCCAGCCCGAGAAAACGACATATCGCCTTGAGAAGTCAAACGCAGGTGCCGTAGGGAAAGTCACCGCCGTGGCACAAGTGTTAGCGCGCCGAATCGCGGTTGATTAGGAAGGGCATCCAATCAGGCCATGGTGACACCGCCATATAACCTCTCAATACTGAATTGAGAGAGGCCTATGTCCTGCAGTGGAATGAATGGCTGTTGAAAAAAAAAAAAATATATACATATATATATATATATATGTATATATATATTTGTATGTATACATATGTTTATATACATCTACAAATATATATATATATATTTATATATATATATAAGTATGAATATATATGTGTGTGTGTGTGTGTGTGTGTATGTCTGTATGTCTGTATGTATCCACATTAGCATCCTTTCTCTCGGAATAGAGACAGAAACGGAAGACCAAGCATTTTCCTTCGTTAGGGTGGACGCCGCTGCACTGGTCTGCCCAGAACGGTCGGGGCGCGGCGGCCGAGGCCCTCCTAGGGAAAGGAGCCGAGAGGAACGCCGCAACGCTTGGCGGTAAGACGGTTCCTGACACTATGAAGGCTGTCTTATCGTTAAGGCGTTTGTTACCGTATTGTCCGTTTGTTCTTAATTTATCCTGTTCCCCCCCCCCCCCCCCCCCCCACCTTTCACCCTTCCCTGTTTACTTGAACTGTGAGTTACCGATATCGAACGAGGGGAAAGAGAAGGAAGGATAAACAAAGAGGTGTGTGTGTGCGTGCGTGCGTGCGTGTGTGTACACACACACACACACATATATATATATGCATATATATATATATAGATAGATAGATAGATAGATACATGTGTGTGTGTATGCGTGTGTGTATGCGCGTGTGTATGCGCGTACGTGTGTAAATGTGTGTATATATATACATATGTATACACATAAATACAGTTACACACATGTATGTTGTACATACACCACACACACGTATATTTATGCATGTGTCTGTACAAGTTTATCAATTTCCTTTTTTATTCTGCGAACAGCTTATCTGCACATAGAAAAAGTAGCTGAAGATTAGACTTACATGTCACTCTTACAGCTCTGATAACGTTTCTATCTTCCGTGCCAGGTCAGGCAGCGATGCACATAGCAGCTTCGGAGGGCCATCTCCACGTCCTGTACACGCTGGTGAAGCTTGGCGTCGCTACCAACGCGAGGAACGGCCGAGGAAAGACGCCCAAGGAAATGCTGAAAGGAACTTCCACGACTGCAGATTACGACATGGAAGTCTTCAAAGGCATCTCACTGGTACTGGTGCTGGAAGCTGTTTGTAGGAACTTTTTTTTAATCTTCTTTCTTTTCATTTATGGCGATTTTTTTTCTTTCTTTTTTTTTTGGTAGGGTGTTAGACAACGCAATTAATATTAATAGTGTTAATCTGATAATGGAGCAGGAATCTGTCAATACGAACTTTTTTCATGATGCTAGCTTCTTTTTCTTCTATGATGAATGTCTTTTTTGCGGGAGAGAGGGGTAGAAGGCATGATTAATATTGAATCACTCCTTTGTTAACCTAAGAAATCTGTTCATGATACTAGATACTCTTGTATGGCTAATGATTTACTTTTTTTTCTACGTTTTTCCCTTTTTTAAGGGGATTAGACACCATAATTAGCAATGAATCAGTCCTATGTTAACCAGTTGGATTCCATTACAGATAGAGATAATGGAGAAGTACCTCGCAGCTGAAAAGGGGAAGGTCGGCCTACAGAGAGACAAGAGGGCGCTTCAGGTTAGAGACGGACTGGCCTCCTGCCCTGGATCTGGCATTTCAGGGAGATGGAGATGCAGTCCCACGCGCGTTGCTGAGGGGAATAATCGAGAGAGAAAGAGAGAGGGAGAGAGAGAGAGAGAGAGAGAAAGAGACAGAGAGAGAGAGAGGGAGAGGGAGAGAGAGAGAGAGAGAGAGGGAGAGACAGAGAGAGAGAGAGAGAGAGAGAGAGAGAGAGAGAGAGAGAGAGAGAGAGAGAGTTTGCGCATGCGTGCATGTATACTCAAATATACATACACACAAACATATACTGTGTGTGTGACTATGTGTGTGTCTATGTATGTGTGTGTAAGAGAGAGAGAGAGAGAGAGAGAGACAGAGACAGAGAGAGAGAGAGGGGGGGGGGGAGAGAGAGAGGGAGAGACAGAGAGAGAGAGAGAGAGAGAGAGGGGGGGGGGGGAGAGGCGGTGGAAAGATGGATGGAAACAGAAATAGGCAGCGTTTCACACGGACATGCCTTTCCATGCACCCGCGCGCGTTCATGCAATTCCCTCTTCGCAGAATGAACATAAAGAGGAGCTGAAGAGGATGAAGGAAGATCAGAGAAGAAGAGACGCTGACTCTCGGGGAATGAAGAAGGAAATCACTGCTTTGAAAGAGAAGATCAAGGCGATGGAGGTGAGGCAGAGAGGAGAGGGAGAGGGAGGGGGAGAAGGAAGGAGAGAGATAATTATATATATATATACATATATATATATATACATATATATATACACACACAGACACACACACATATATATAGAGAGAGAGAGAGATAAATAGACAGATAGAGAGAGAGAGAGACGGAGAGAGAGAGTTTTTTTTTTTCTTTTTTTTTTACTCACTTGTCATTGTTATCCATGATCCCTTGAGTTTACCTACAGCCTTTGGTATCGATTAATACTGAAGGAAAAGACCCTTCTCCTTACTTCCTACTTTTCCACAAACCTTCGAGGCTTTGCACGTGGATATACTGCAGTATTCTTGAGACGGGAAAGCGCTTTCGGTTTTCTGAAGACTAACTGTTAGGCTGTAGACTTTTCCCTGAAGAAGTGCGTTTCGTGTCAACCCCGAGGCCCGACCAGCAAGAAACGGAAAAACCTCGGGGTTATTTGTGTACAAGAGGCATAGGTAGGATATAGTACATATATATGTATATATAGTTTTATACATAAGTATAATTTTATCAGTATTGTCTTGGTGCTACATTTTTCTTTTTTTCCTTTTATTCTATTACTAATTTTATGATTTTATATACTATTGTATTGCTGATTCACAAATAAATGGTCACGCTTCTATGTTTATGGTTATGGAATAAGCAAAGGGTTATCTTATCTTTAAGTTTGACTGTTTTGCATTTGCCTTTTAAACATACACTTTTAAGGCCAATCTATGTTTACGCATTCTATGTGTGGGAGAGTGTGACATTATATCAGGTCGAGATGGCTCTCTCGTATTGCTCGTCCTCAAGGGCTGTCTGGATACGTACCACAAGAGTGGTGCTGTGTCTTTGGCAAATCGACCATCAGTAAGCCGTCAGTCAAGAGCTCAGATCCAGAGTGCCCCAACATCTGCCACAGCACATGTTCGACTGCTCTGACACCCAAAATCTGCGGTCTGCCCACGGTGTCGGAGCGGTAGTCCTCCACATTGAGGACCAACCAATCTCTGGGGAAGACAGCGGAGCAAATACCAGCGAGGAGGAAGAACTTTTCCAGTTTGAACCTCGAGAGCACGTAAAAACAATCTTGCAACTCAGCAGATTAAAAAAAAAAAAAAAAAAAAAAAAAAAAAACTTGCTAAAGTTCCTTAATAACCCATTGCTGGACTGGACACTGGTGTTTCCATTGTCAACTTTTACGACAACCTCATTGCTGCAACTACTATCTGTGCAGTTAAACTGAAAACTATAGCCTGCACAGCCAACCCAACAAAATTGACCAGGCTACTGGTTATCAGGCAGCCTAATCACAAATACCTCAAAATCAGTCACACCCACAGTAAACTTCATCTCAACATCTGCAACAGCCACATCAGCTGCCATTGTCTCAGCTTGACAATCGAAACAGCCAGCCGTCTAGATCAACTCCACCTTAACAGGAACCGACAAATCAGGCCCGGCTGAATCAAGCACAGGTTCACACACAACATAAATATAAGCCCTATAGCCCCCAGACGATCACTCATAATCGACAGTAGAGATCTAACAGGCAGACTCTTGTAAAATCAAGGGTCACTCCGAAAACAACTGCCACAGGATCAAAGAATGTGAATATTGCCATCGTAGAGGACATCTTACATCTGAGTGCCGAAGAAAAAGATGAAGAGGAAAGATCAAGAACGCGTCTTCCAATGCACTACTGTAGAGCAGCATCAATGTAATGCTATTTTGGTACACGCAATACACAAGCACTTGACATACACTCCACACAATTCACATCTTTCCTTACAAGCCAACGGATTGCCAACACCAGCCATTCAGCTACCCAACTAACAAACTACTAGCTCTCTGTAAGGTCCCTGGTACAGAATGCACGGGACTTTTGGAGGCATCGGTGTCTGCTTTCGAAGAGCATAGCAGATCATCTCGAACGCTTGGTGCTCTCATTGCCTGTGTCTGCTACAGACCCCAGTTGCAAGGCTCTGAAAACTTGTTTATCATCAAGCCAACCTGGATAATATTCTCCATGCATACTCTTGCAAAAATATCCTAATACTAGGGGATCTGAACCATCACTTGGTTGAAAGATCATTTGAAAAGCTCCTCAATGCATTCAGGCTTACAAATCATGTCCATTTCCCGACCCTCATATCAGGCTCATTCCTTGACCCTGTGATTACTGATCTGGCTGAATCAGATGTCATTTGTTCTTCCCTGGGCACAGTTGTCTCCTCTGATCACTTAGCAGTATTAAGCAAGACCAGCCTAAAAGCTGCACGACTGGAAACTTTATCCCGTACAACCTGAAAATCCTAGCTAAAAATACTACTATATGGGAAATACTAGCAAGGCATGTGTGATGCATTATCTGAATCACTCTAGGACGACATTCTCACTGGCACTGTTGACAGACAATTATTGGCCCTTACCAAATTACTAGTCAGCCTACAAGCAATGTATGTACAAAATCCACGGATCAGCCCAGGTTTGGCTACAATTGTAGAATGGCAGCTAACAATAAGATGAGAGCCTGGAACCGTTACAATCGCCATCCCACACAAAGAAATAAAGATGTTCATGCTATGGCTTGCAGGAGAATGAAAGCTGTCCAAAATGGGCAATTAATCAATGGAACGAGGACCTCTGATTAAAACTGCATTAAACAGCAACAAGGATTTTCACCTGATGACTGCATCCCCCCTCTCAACAAGGGACGGGGGATCAGCTGCAACCTCCAGCAGAGAGAAGGCTGAACCTGACCGACCTTCTCCAAGTCTGGCTCTCGTGACTTATTCGAAGCTTAGCTCTTTCGTGATGTGAAAGAGCTAAGAGAGGGAAAAAAGAAGGAGAGGGGGAGAGGGGAAAAAGAAGGAGAGGGGGAGAGGGAAGAAAGAAGGAGAGGGGGAGAGGGAAAAAAGAAGGAAAGGGGGAGAGAGAAGAAAGAAGGAGAGGGGGAGAGGGGAAAAAGAAGGAGAGGGGGAGAGGGAAGAAAGAAGGAGAGGGGGAGAGGTAAGAAAGAAGGAGAGGGGGAGAGGGGAAAAAGAAGGAGAGGGGGAGAGGGAAGAAAGGAGAGGGGGAGAGGGAAGAAAGAAGGAGAGGGGGAGAGGGAAGAAAGAAGGAGAGGGGGAGAGGGAAGAAAGAAGGAGAGGGGGAGAGGGAAGAAAGAAGGAGAGGGGGAGAGGGAAGAAAGAAGGAGAGGGGGAGAGGGAAGAAAGAAGGAGAGGGGGAGAGGGAAGAAAGAAGGAGAGGGGGAGAGGGAAGAAAGAAGGAGAGGGGGAGAGAGAAGAAAGAAGGAGAGGGGGAGAGAGAAGAAAGAAGGAGAGGGGGAGAGGGGGGAAAGAAGGAGAGGGGGAGAGGGGAAAAAGAAGGAAAGGGGGAGAGGGAAGAAAGAAGGAGAGGGGGAGAGAGAAGAAAGAAGGAGAGGGGGAGAGGGGGGAAAGAAGGAGAGGGGGAGAGGGGAAAAAGAAGGAAAGGGGGAGGAGGAAGAAAGAAGGAGAGGGGGAGAGGGAAGGAAAGAGAGGGAAGGAGAGAGAGAGGGAGAGACTGATGAAGAGAGAGAGAAAGAGAGAGAGAGACAGAGACAGAGGCAGACAGACAAAGAGATGGATAGATAGATAGATAGAGCGAGAGGCGGGGGGGGGGGGGGGAAGAGAGAGAGAGAGCGAGAGAGAGAGAGAGAGAGAGAGAGAGAGGAAAACCTTATCTGAATGAGTATGTGTACACATATACATGCATATATGCGTGTGTATGTGTGTGTGTGTGTGCATATATAAGAGAGTATCTAAGGAATGAATTTATTATTATTTTTATATACTAATTTAAAATGTTTATATATATATGTGATAATAATCTATGTTTATATAAATTCATAATGTGTGTGTGTGTGTGTGTGTGCATGTGTGTGTGTGTGTGTGTGTGCGTGTGCGTGCGCTTGTGTACGTGCATGTGTTTGTGTATACAGATATACATGTGTTTATTCAGATACAGACTCACACAGATGCAAGTACCCATAGGCCTATATGACTCTCGACAGAAGGCTAGAAGAATTTAAGCGACTCCTTTCTTTCCAGGAGGAACACAGAACAGAACTGCAGAACGCCACAGAAAAGGAACAAGAAAAAGAAGAGGAGGTTGCGACCATGAAGAATGAAATAATCCGTTTAAAGGAAACAATTGTAAGTAGAGACGATGCAGGAGACCCGGGCAGCTTCTGCAGGAGGAGACCCGGGCAGCTTCTGCAGGAGACCCGGGCAGCTTCTGTAGGAGGAGACCCGGGAGCTTCTGCAGGAGGAGGCCTAGAATAGAGTCAGAGGCAGAGTCCGACCGTGAGGAAGAGTGTGTGTAGGAGTCAAGGTCAGAGGTCACGACCGAAGTTCAGCACGGCGGCGATGCCATGGGCACGCCGCCCTCGTAGGTCACTCCTGCCAGTTGGAGGGCGTGACATTGAAGATATCTGACCACTCTCAGAGAGAGATAGACAGAGAGATAAATAGATAGAGATAGGGAGATAGATAGACAGATAGACAGAAAGATAGATAGAAAAAGAGAGAGATGCTTTGAAAGAAAAGATCAAGGCGATGGAGGTGAGAGAGGGGGGGGGATGGGAATGAGAGAGAGAGAGAGAGAGAGAGAGAGAGAATGGGAATGAGAGAGAGAGAGAGAGAGAGAGAGAGAGAGAGAGAGAGAGAATGGGAATGAGAGAGAGAGAGAAAGAATGGGAATGAGAGAGAGAGAGAGAGAGAGTGAGTGAGTGAGAGAGAGAGAGAGAGAGAATGGGAATGAGAGAGAGAGAGAGAGATTGGGAATGAGAGAGAGAGAGAGAGAGAGAGAGAGTGAGAGAGAGAGAGGGAGAGTGAGAGAGAGAGAGAGAGAGAGAGGAGAATGGGAATGAGAGAGAGAGAGAGACCGAGAGAGAGGGAAAGAGAGAGAGAGAAAGAGAGACTGAGAGAGAGGGAAAGAGAGAGAGAGAAAGAGAGAGATAGACTGAGAGAGAGGGAAAGAGAGAGAAAGTGACTGTGAGTGAGTGAGTGGGAGAGAGAGAGTGAGAGAGAGAGTGAGAGAGAGAGAGAGAGAGAGATAAAGAGATAGATAGTAGATAGAGAGAGAGAGAGAGAGAAAGAGATAGATAGATAGAGAGAGAGAGAGTGACTGTGAGTGAGTGAGTGGGAGAGAGAGACTGAGAGAGAGAGTGAGAGAGAGAGAGAGAGAAAGAGATAGATAGATAGAGAGAGAGAGAGAGAGATAGATAGAGAGAGAGAGAGGAGCCGACTGGTGCGCAGGTTGACATGAGATTTCCCTAGACAGAAGCATTATCTCTTTCTCTCTCGTCTCCTCTCCTCTCTAATCCCCATCTAATTCTCCTTTCTCTCTCTTGCACTCTATTTACATTCTCTCTCTCCTTACCGTTTGTTTCTCCGCCCCTCCCCCCCCTCCCCCACCTCCCCTGCATCAAACATATTTTGCTCTTTCCTTCTTGTTTCCTCTTCTCTTACCCCCCCCCCCACACACACACACGCAAATGAGAGAATAACGAAAAATGGAACAACCAACGATGGAGATCCGTTTCAGGCCCAGCATCAGGAGGAAAAGGAGAGCGGAGAGGATGAACAGCGAGAAAGGGAGAGGGAGGCAGCCAGCGAGAACAAGATGCTGAACTCAAAAATTGCTGTCCTGAAGGAGACGATTCAGATACTACAGGTGAGGCTTTTATCCTTATTATTATTACTATTGTTATTATTATTATTACTATTATTATTACCTCCGCCGAGGAGGTTATGTTTTTGACGGCGTTGGTTTGTTGGTTTGTTTGTTAGCAGCCTAGCTCAAAAAGTGCTGGCCGGATTCCATCGAATTTTGGGGGACAAGTCAGAAAGGGACTAACTTAGAACTGATTAAATTTTGGTGACATTCCGAATTACCGTCTGGTTATTATTATTATCATTATTTAATTAATAAACAAGTTCGGTAGACAAATCTACGGTAAACGTGTACCACATTTCACTGACATTCCGAATAACCCAGGTGTTGTAGTAATCAGTGACCACTTTTGTCATGTCCATGGAGAATTTATCAACACTCGTTACTGTGTAGTCGTTATACCAGTCATGAATACGTGCTTCAAAGTGGTGCTCAAGGTAAGGAGGAATAGAAATTTTGAGCCTATTCGTTTTTGCAGATAGACTATTATCAACAGCGTATCTCGTTACTATTGCAAAGTGGTCACTGATTAACTCTGCTGCAAGCATGCTGCGGACGTTTCCATGCACAAGATCCCTTCCTATTACATAATCTAGCCTGCCCCCCGCCACGTGAGTTTCCCTGTCTGTATCATATACGGTCATGGATCTATTGTTCACAAAATTTCGGAACTCTTCGCCGTTTTCATTGCATTGACTGTCTCCAAATGTATAGTGTCTAGCATTGAAATCCCCCATGCATATTGTGCCGTGTTTCTGAAAGCTAGGCAGTGAATCAGTTTGAAACTTTCTACACTTTGCGTATACATTGTACAGAGAGAAAAACCCAGAGGCTGTTCGAATATGTAAATGCTGATATTGCACATTATTGTCATCAGACTTCTGCACCAGCTTATGCGGTATGGTGTCACTGACATAAGTCAAGAGGCCTGTCATTCCTGTGTTCGTATAGGAGTGGTACCCTCTAATTCTAGGGGCGGTTTTTATTTTTGTGGCTGATGTGAAGGGCTCTTGTAGACAGATAACGTCAACATTATTGTTATTAATGTAATAGAGCAAGTCATTAATTTTACGGTTGACACCACGTATATTCCATGAGAGAAACGTAATTATTTTCTTGTCCCCCATCATACCCTATGATTGGCTGATTGGTCAACTTTATGTTTGATTAGGCTCTTTAGTCTGGAAATTTCACAAGCAGGACAATACCCGTGACAATCTTATTCAGTTTCTTAAAGCTAACACAAATCTACGGGAATTAAAAACTCATTTCAGAAAAGAACACTTTGAACAGTTCCTACAAAGCATTAATAACAACACCTCAATGTCTGAGATCTGGAAAAAAAATCAATCGACTCTCAGGCAAACCAACTAACACCCCGCAGTTCCATAGTCCTCTTGCACAAGCAGACATGCTCCTTAGTCAATGGGCTGGAGCGTCCAAATTGAGCTCACTTCCCACAAATATTCAGAATCACCTTAGTCATACTAAAATTGCACGTAAATTTGCCATTGAGATTGGATGTTCTGAGTGCGACCCCTCAGACTGCTGAGATTACTGAGTGGGAACTGGACAATGCACTGATCAAAGGAAAAGCGTCTGCACAAGGTGAGGATGGAATTACCTATAGTGTCCTCCGCCTCATAGCTCAAGTACCTGGTAATCCCCTTTTGCACCTGTGCAGGTTATGTTTGTCACAAGGTATTCTGCCTGGCTTCTGGACGCGCAGTCTAATCATCCCTATACCGAAACCAAACACTGATAAATACCGCCCAATTTCACTAACCTCATGTGTATGCAAAGTTCTCGAAAGGATAATTTTGAACAGACTCAGGTACAGGTTGCAAGGTAAATTATCTCACAGACTGTATGGATTTCTATCAGGACGTAGCACACAACATTGCTTTGCAGAGTACTATTCAAACTCTAATCCAGGGAAGCACACTGTTTTTCTTGACCTTAAGTCAGCTTTTGACATTGCAAACAGAGAAATTATCCTAGAACAATTAGTAAGCTTTGGCATCCGGGGTAAATTATTGAGCTGAATTAGAATGTATCTGTCGAATAGATCTGCAAGTGTCTTGTTCGGGGGTGTGAGAAGTTCCACTTCACAATCTTTTGAACTTGGGACGCCACAGGGAGGAGTTCTCAGTCATATGTTGTTCAATGTCCTCATGTACAAGCTGGTGGCAGATATTCGACTTGGGGATGGGGAATCCATTATATGCTATGCTGATGACATATGCGTCAAAGCATCATCACAAGAGAGGATGCAAATAATTCTCAACAAACTCACAACTAGGGCTCATGAGTGTGGATTAGTCATATCCGCTGAGAAAACAATGGCTCTCAATCCATGTATCATACCCCTACCCACTTATCGCATAGGTGACCAAGAGCTTGACATGTGTCATAAATATAAATATCTCGGGGTGAACATAAATGATGCAGACCTGATCCTTTCTCTGAAAAAGAGACTCTGGGAGAGACTGAAACCGTTGAAAGTCCTTGTTGGAAGAGAACATGGCATCAATGTTAAGCTCGCTAGACTGTTTTACTTGGCTTTTATAAGATCAGTTGTAGACTACCATGCACTGCACTTGTTGCAGTGCAAGGAACCAGAAATAAATAGCTTGGAGGTAGTGCAAAATGAAGCAATGAGGATTATCCTCGGCGCCCCGAGAACAGCAAGGATAGTGAACATGAGGTCAGAACTTAACCTACCATCCATCTCTGATAGAATAATGTTCATTTCCACTATATTTGGGGTCAAAGCTCCGAGGGAACCCTTGTATCTCTCAGACTTCCAAAAACAATTGCAGCACAAAATCACGCAAGCAGACGTGACTAATCACACACACGCGCGCCCTCTAATACACAAA